CTCAAACAACACAAGATTATTGAGAAAACTTTTTCTAGCACAAACCAAGAAGACAAAGAAATAAGAAGAAATTTTGCAAGTTTGAAAACAATCAGCAGAATTGAGTACAACAGCCAAAGCAGAGTCAGGAAGAACATTTTTTAAATCGCAGCAACTAAAACAAAGGAGAAGTATTAGAATTTGTTTTCACTTACCCCAGTAACTTTTAGCATAATAAGTTGCCTAGGTCTAGGATGAATTTGAAATTAAAATTTCCACTAGGTTGTTTTAATTGTTGAGATTATTTAGCTTTTTGAATTTTTGTTATGCAAATTGTGTTTTCAAGTTGGCAATTTAAAGCGCTTCTATGCTTAATAAATTTTTCAATCCTTTTGGTTGCCTTATCTATTATAATAACCAACAAAACTACTTTTAGGTTTTTTCTTTAAACAAATCTAAAAAAGCTAAAAGTAATTCCCAGTTTTCAAACACTTCTGCCTCTGACAAGTTTAAATTCAAAGTTTCATTACTTCCATAACAGTGTCCCTTCTTGTGATTGGCCTTGTTATTTTTTTGATTAAATAACATAATTTTATTATTTATTTTAAAAAATTAATTAATGATTAAATATAATTATAAAGTATTTAATAATATTTAGCTTATCGACTTTTTTGTTCATCCCCTTTATATGTAGAACCCCCTCGATGACAATTCTAGGTCTGCCACTGAAGCATTAGGTACTTTTGTTTCAGCAAAGCAGATAACAGCAAGAGTGAGAGCAAGGTCAGAAATCTGCTCTAGCTGTTTTAGTCTTTGTATTTGGCAGGAAGCAACTATCAATGGGGAGCGTAAAGAGTATAATATATTTTAGCATTTTAGAAGAAAGGGAAAAGGGGAAGGGGGTCAAAACAGCTTAAGACAGTTGAAACCGCTGCTCCACTAGTCAAATCAAAAACAATTTGATTCAATCATCCTGTCATGTCATTGAAATATGCATGGACACTAGATCGCACTGAAAGTATGGGACAGAAGATCCAAAGCTTGAAGAATAACTCAGAGTATCTCTGAGATAAGAACAGGACTGATACTTTTTTCCAGTCAATCGAGTACTGAAAGAAGGAATCAGAGGGACACGAGAGAAAATATATCAGTCTAAGCAAGAAACCAGGAAAGAATATTACAGTAAAAAAATCAGGGTACAACTGCCAAAAGCAATGTCTACTTCTTTTACCTGTGCTGAAATAGCTTGACTAACAATATACTCGGTTTCTGCCATGAATTGTCTCCACAAAGATAAACACTGCACTGGTGTGAGCAATGTGTTCTCTGGTGAAACCTAATAAAAATTGCACCGGTAGTGAGCAATTTATTGGTGAACGTCAAACAAATACAACTGCCAATGTAAGTTCATTGGACCTCTTCCCATGAGCTTGAGGCAAGGGGGTCACAAGAATCTGCAATATCACTATTCCGAGAAGAAATTGAAATCTTCCCTTCCAAGAGTCTGGAGAAAAGTATGCTTTCTATTCTGTCTGATTTTTCATCCAACCGTATGGCAGCCACTATAGACAAAAACTTCAGAGACTGTTCCAGATAGAACAAAGAAATGATAAGAAACTTCTAGTTCTGGGCACAGCAAACAGAGAGTCAAAACAGTTCAAGATGAACCGTAAAAAAATTATATCCTTGCGAATACCTCAGAGCGGGCCTCCAATGTTATTGATTTAATGTCCTCCTTCCCTGTCCAAAGCCTTGGGATTGAATCGCTATCATGGCTGAACACAGTATTAAACCTAAAGCCCCAAGCTGTCAGTAATTTAAAGGTTAAGACAACAGAAGATCAAATATAAAACAAAAGAAATGGTCCACCTATCCTTCATTTGCATCAAAACTTTTCCAGCTTCTTCTCTTGCTATTTTCTCCACAACACTTCTAGCGTAGTCTTTCAGACTTTGCATCATTCTGTCAAATGCGTACTGGTCCAATTCAAAGCCGGAAAGTGCTGGGCAGAAGCATGATATAGCCACATCTGTCTCGCGTTTTAGAAGCTTTCTTATTGAGGCCCATGTTTCACTCCCACCAACATCAAAAAGGGATTGTACAGGTTCAGCAAGTGCAATTGTGATTTGTTTCTGTCAAATGAAATCTGGCTAAGACATGCGCCCTCTAAAGTTATTGATTTGCTGATGAAGAAATAAAAGGAACCAAGATAAACAAAACAAAGATGCCATTGGACATAATTTTTACCAACTACAAATGGTGGATTCTCTACATTAGGAATCTTACCTCATAAATGGCCTTCAGTTCAGATAACTTATCATTACGAACAGAGGACACATGGGCCTCAATATCACGAATGAGTTTGTCACGAAATTTTGAAGCATCCCAATTAGCATGTCTTATGGCAGCATCTGCAATTGAAAAAAAGAATCTCAAATTAATGGCAGCGAAATGGTGGGTATGAACTTCCACTTCAATTACTACCAACGCTACTGCCTTACAGTCTAGTGGTATCAGTGGTAGTTCCCCACACAATAGGTGTGGTTTCAATTGTCACTATTTCATTCCTTGCACTTCCCTTCCTCCCATGTAATGAAAATATTTTGGAAGAAAACTTCTATTTCAATTTACACTTAAGAATAACACAAAAACAAAAATACTTAGGTTTTTGAAAGATGGTTCTGCAAAAAGGGTTAAAAGAATGGATTAAGAATACCTCTCGATATAAGAGGGCTTTAAATAGGTAACTTAGAACAAAAAATCTGTATAATTAATAAAAACCCTAAAATATCTCAACAAACTAAAATAACCTAATAAAATCATCATAAATCAAAGAATTTTAAATTTAAAATTGGCTAAATTGGAGACTTCAACAGTTTTTTAAGACCTAACAATTCAAACCTCATGTAGAAGTACCTGAACATCCCTTATCAAATTCAGTGATACAAGACTCAGAGCATGTACGAACAGATGCCGCAAATGCTTCTCCTCTACGTAATAATTGTTCCAGCTGACTCTTAAATGTTTGAAGTGATTTAACACGTAGATGCCCCAACTGCGAAACAAAAGCCGGATGGACCAACTGCAGAAAGCTTTGTATTATGAGCATGTAAAATAATGGTGAAAGTTTATTCCTCTTATATATCATCATGCAATAAAATTTTAACTCTTACCTCACTACGGTGCACACAGAAAAGAAGAAAACTTACATTAAAATGTAAGGAGTATCGTTTTTCTATATAATGACACATTTATGCATAGGAATAGAAGGATAAAGTGTGGGCAGATAAAATATACATTCTGATCAGAAGACAGATGTAAATGGGTCAGCAAAGGCTGGGAAAAGTAGACACTCAGGAGAATGAACTGTTCAAACGTCCTAACAAACCACCCCACTTGTCGAGGTAGTCGCCGATTAGCTTGTCAAACTGCCACAGATCCTTTCTCCCAAACTACATCTTCCTTAGCTTTTCCCTTCCATTGAACTGAGAATTCTATTTTCATATCTTCTTACTGTTCGCAACAACCTAGTGAACAAGTATTTCTTCAATTTTTGCTTCAAACTGTATTGACACTAAAGGAGGAGTCCTCTTTAACCTGTGTCTGTCCGGATCATCAACATCTTCAAAATACCGGTTTCAGATAACTTACATGGAACGTTGCATGAATTTTCAATCTTTCCAGCAACTTCAACTTAATATGCTACTTCACCTACCCTTTCAACTACTTCAAATGGTCTGTCATGCCTTGGAAGGTGCAAGATGTTATTGAGTGGCAGGCACAAACTAGTGTCAAGGTTTGAAGTCATTCTTGGAGCTCGCCAATTACTATCAGAAATTTATTGTTGGATATTCAAAGAAGGCAGTGGCCTTAACGGACTGGTTAAAGAAGGATGTTATGTAGGACTTGTCAGAGCGTTTCAGAATTTAAAGGAAGCCGTTGCTTTAGAGCCAATACTTAAGTACCATTTGAAGTGCACTCTGATGCATCCAACAAAGCTATTGGGGTGTGTACTAGTGTAAGAAGGTCAATTAGTGGCCTTTGAAAGTCGGAAATTGAATGATGCAGAGTGCAGAGTTTCTACTAACGAAAAAAATGGTGGAAATAGTGCACTGTTTGCAGACTTGGAGGGTATATTTGTCAGGTACTTGCTTTGTAGTGCAGATTGATAATGTGGCCAATACATTTTTCAAGACACAAAAGAAGTTCAGTCCAAAGAAGGCGCATTAGCAAGAATTTTTGGCAGAACGACTTCATGGGGGAGCATAAACTAGGAAAGCACAACCAAATTGTTCATGGATTGAGTAGGAAAGAGGTATTTGCTTATGTATATTCAATTTCTATGCTTGAGACTGATTCATTGGATAAAATCAGGTTGTGCTGTGAATGATTCACATGTAAAGTGGGTGAGTCAAGTTCAAGATGGGACTGTTAGAATGTAATAGATCGAAGACAATCTTCTTTATTATTAACGGGGGAATAGTGGTACCGTAAGGAGGTGAACTCGTAGAGATTTGATGCAGGAGCCACTGAGCCAGGGAAGCGCACGATACTCCGTGGGCGGATCATCTGGGTGAAGAACAAATGCTAGGTTACTGTTCCGTGTGTACTTCTGGTCGAAAATGGAAGATGAAGTTGAATCTAATGTGAAGACTTTCCATGTTTGTCAAATGAACAAGACTGAACATAAGGAGGAGGGGGGTTTGTTGCAGCCGCTTCCTATTCAAAAAAGGCCATGGCTATTTGCCTCAATGAAGTTCATTTCTGGATTTCCTAAAGATGACTGTAATGCATCTATTATGGTGATGGTAGAAAGGTTCTCGAAATATTCTATCTTCATTGCTTCTCCAGTCAATTGCTTGTCGGAAGTTGCTACTAGTTTCTTCTACACACATATGGTGAAATTCTTTGTTATGCAAAGTGACATTGTGAGTGATAGGGATGCGCGGTTAACCGGTCAATTCAAGATGATTTTGTTCAACATGATGAAAACAGACCTGAAATTTTCAACGGCTAACCATCCTCAAAACTGATGGCCAGACAAAAAGGATCAAGCACTTGCTCGAAGAATACTTGAGGCATTTAGTGAAACAAAGTCAGCAGAACTGGGTAGACTTGTTAGATACATGCAGTTTTTCTAGAAGAGTCCATTCGAACTTGTTCTAGGCATGCAGCCTATTACGCCCCTTAATGTTGCAACACAAAAACCATGGTATATATCCAGCTGCTAACTGGTATGTAAAACACAAGCATGAGATGCTTGTTGAGGCACAAGACAGTTTGAGGGAGCCCAGTTTCATATGAAGAAGTATGTTGATCAGCATTGTCGTGCAGTTGAGTTCAATGTCAGAGACAGTGTTGCTTAAGCTCACTCCCCAAATCTGGATGCAGATTGTGAACAAGAAGAGACTTAGAGGGCTGACTCCAAGGTATGACGAACCATTTGAACTAGTTGAAAGGGTAGGTGAAGTTTCTTATAAGTCTGAGCTGATGGAAAGATTGAAAATTCATTTGACTTATCTGAAACCCTATTTTTAAGATGTTGATGATCCGAACAGAAACAGGTAAAAGAGGGCTCCTCCTTCGCCCCAACATAGTTTGAAGTAAAGATTGAGGAAATACTTATCACCGGGTTGTTGGGAACAGTAAAAAGACTACGAAAACACAATTCTTAGTGCAATAGAAGGGCAAAGCTAAGTAAGCTGCAGTTTGGAATAAAAGCAAGGATCTGCGGTAGTTTGACACGCAAATCGATGGCTACCACAAAACAAGCTTGAAGAGGACGTCAAGTTCAACTAGTTGAGGTAGTTTGTTAGACCTTCAATCTCAAAGGTAATTATGGTTAAGGTTTGTGCATTGGTCTTGACATGTGCTGTGACATGCTGTACAAACGATGTACATGGTTGTGGTGACTAAGTGCGCAAATTTCAAGGTGCTAGAGGTGTTGGCAAGGAAGCCTTGGGCGCAGCAGGATTCAGGAAAAGACAGGCATTGACTGATGACACCTGATGGGAATGCCCACGATAGTGTCACCGGCAAGGCAGTGGTATTAGCTTGACGATGAAAAGGCAAGACTGCATGATGACGCATGCCATTGGAAGAAGCTGAAATAATTCTACAGCTTTGGAAGGATGCTGAAAATATTTGAAGTGTTGAAGAAATGGAAATTCAGCTAAGGCAAAGACTTTTCATGTGCATGACACATGGGGTTGTTAAGTTCGAATTTTGAATGTTGTCTAGAGGTAAGGACAATCAGTTTTGTAGTTTTATTTGGATTGATTTTGTAAAAATCAAATTCCTGGCATGCTGCCAGTTGTAACTAAATGTAATCGCTGTGGAACTGCCTGTGTGCAGATTTTATATATTGGCAGAATTATTCTTAGGCAGAGGGAGTGAATTCTTTGCCTTCAGAATAATTTGTAAGCATATCGTTTCGGCATTCAGAGAGATCAATAAAAAGATTGGGACTTGTTCCTGTAAACTGCTGTGTTCTTATTGTTCCTACGTTGCCTACGAAACAGTTACGTACTTAGATGTTTGTGAGTGTTTATGCCTAAAGTTTTGCAGCATGTGCATGACCGACAAGCAGTGGCGATGAAGAAAAAATCACCCCTGGTTAGGAAGAAAAAATCACCCCTGTTTTATCCTCTCTTCCATTGCACAGTCAAACATGTTTAAAAATATGTGGATTCTTTCCCCACTTCCTGTGTTAGGTAAGACATTGGAGACTCTAAGGGGTCGTTTGGTACAAAGATTAATAATGCTGGGATTAGTAATGCAGGGATTAATAGTGCAGGGATTAGTAATGCAAGGATTATTTTTACCAAGTGTTTGGTTCATTGTTTCCCATCTCATCTTGTGTTAGGATTAAAACTTTATAAAAAACTTCTTTCCAATTATACCCTTGAATTATTATGCAATTGGGTTAAGGTAAATAATTGCCGGACAATAATTTTTTTATGGCCTTCTAACTAGCTATGAAAGGAACAATTTTATTGTCAAGTTTGCCTTTTTACTTAAATTATTTGAGGATAAATAATTGTCATCTTAGTACATTGATCATTTGCAAATGTCAATTTCCAATTTAAAAAAAAAGAAGATAAACTATCAACTTTTATAATTGAAAAGACGGTAAACAATAGTACAATCAAATAAATCATCTACATTTTCGCATAAAATTGCAAGTTGTAATTTTAATATGTATTCAATTTTATAAGTTGTTCAAAATAAAAAAATATTAGAAAACCGCACAAACATTTTAATTATTTTGTTTATTTTTTTGATTTTATGTTTTATGGTTGTGCTAGTAAATTTATTTAAATAAATTAGCTTACAAATTATTTAGAGAGAGTTGTTTGTTACAAATTATTCTCTCTAAATAATTTGTTAAGCTAATTTATTTAAATAAATTTACTAGCACAATCATAAAATAAACATAATCAACAAAATAATTAAAATGTTTTGAGGGATATTTTTGTCTTTAGTAGACTTATCTCATGGTATTATATCTCATGTATTACTAATACCTCCAAATAGAAGGTATTAGTAATACATCATATAATACCATGTAGGAGGTATAACTAATTCATAGATTAGTTATGCATAGACCCAATTTCCAACCAAACATAGTACTAAATAATACCACCTATAATACATGGACTATTTGTTTTTATGCGGCATACCAAACAACCCCTTAATATCCTAAATTTTGCAATTCCTGGGCTAATAGTAGATCTTGGTCAAGAAAATTCTTTCTAGAGTCTTGTTCGGCTAAGCAAGTCGAGCAACATCTTCATTCTATCCATTGTCTAGAAAAAAAATTGCACGAAAAGCAAGGAAAGTGTAGGCAAAGATATAATCTACAAAGACCCCTCTGGAGTAGATAAAAATTATATATCTGATGAAAGTACACTGGGAAGAGGTCAAGAGGGTAAAGATGAAACCAAAAAAATACAAATAAATAAATAAACAAACAAACAAAAAACTAGTCTTCGAGGTAATGAACCAGATGAGTTACTAGCAAAATAAAAAATATGCAGCACAAAAACATGATCCCCTCCAGAACACTTACAGTAAGTCCATCTTGGGCGAGAGATTCGTACAGTATATACTGATCAAATTACCAAATGACTAGCAAAACTTAAAAGCGGGAAGCAGATCCCATGCAAATTCATGAGGTAATTCGTCCATGAAACAGGACAACACAAAGTTATATAGGCCTCACCTGCAAAGCTTTCGACATAAATTGTTGACGTTTTGAACTTCTCACGTTTTCTTCAAAAAAGAGGGATTCCGCATCATATCTGTTAAAAGAGAAAACAGATAATTCAGAGCATCAGTTACGGCTCACTCTTACGGACAAGACAAGAATTCGACCACCTGCTTTGCAAATTGTCTTCCCTATTTATAGAGTCGCAAAACATCAAGTTCGGATTTTCAAATGCATGACATGCATATTAACTACAGGAGCACATAACAAATTGTTCATTTAAGTCCTTATGTCAATGTAACCCATCTAAATGCTTATCCTATGTTAAGGGGAAGTTTGAAATATTTCTCTTTCCTTGTTTAGTTTCGACTTCAAGAAAAAGGAAAGAAGTATCATCCCTTAAAATTCAAAGAGGGACAAGATGCATTCCTGTTATTTGTAGTTTTGATGATTTGACAAACTTAGGGACCTCATAAAGGTACCGGGTTTTCTACTTGAGTATTGCAGGTGTATTGTTCGAAGTATTGCAGATGAAACAAAACTCAAGGACCTAATAGAGGTACCAGGCTCTCATGATGACGAGCCGGTCAACTGCCAGCTGGAGGTGGTGCAGAAAGTAGGTGCACACTTCCCGATGGCGTCAGAAAGTGTGACCCTTCCAGCCAATGGCAAAGAAGTTTAGGAAAGTGACTTGCCCATATAAAAGGCACTTTCCTAAACACTTTTCTTTGGTTTTTGTAACTTGATAAACACTTTTCAAGAACTCTTGCAAAGGCCAACACAAAGCAAAGGCAGAATCATTCCTAGGACAACAGCAACATCTGGAGTTTTTTGTCTAGTTGTTTAGGAATTTATTCTCTTGTTCTTAAATTGTAAACCACTCCTAAATCTATAAAGG